AGTCCCTGATTAGCTGTTTTGCTAGGTCCTGCCCACATGCGTTCTGTGGTGCTTTCAAATGCAGTGGGACATTTGCAAGTTAGGCGAAGTAAGCAGCAAATAACAAAATAAACTCTCCTTTTCTCACTTTCTCCATCAGGTTGAATGCTTTTATTTCACCTGGGTTACAATTGGATCTGATTTTAACCAGTCGCTAATATTTGGCCGTGATGTATAGTGCGCCAACTTGACCTGAAGGAAGCTAAGCTAAGGAACGTAGCAGAAATTGCATGCACTGTAAACAACCATTCCCTTCTGGGCAGAGAGAAGGACTGAGCCAAATGAGAGGGTTGTAAATGAGTGCTGCAGGTTTTGTGACAAACTAAATTTGTTTGGAAGTAGGCATGGGACACTATGAAATTATGACTGTATGAAAGCCTTGGGCAAAAATATCACGGTTTCACGGCACGGCGGTATTATGATTACAGCTCTAAAAATTTTGTTTTGAAATTTGTATTTAAAAACAAAAAAGAAAACAACTTTTCTATTATCATATTCAACTTTAATTATCTTTGGAAGCTGTTTTTAGATCTCAGAGGTGTTATGCTGAAATGTTATTTTGTTCATCTGTACTTATGATCTTTAACACCTAATGAAATTAGGTTATCCTGATAAAGTTTACATCTAATAGGACAACTGCTTTTCTATTGCTTTATTAGTTAAGACAAATCAGTGTGTACTCCACGACAAGGCTTTTTATTCAAGTAATGTATTAAGTTTTTATTGTGTTTTAAATTTCAGAAGAGTTTTTGATGTAAAGATTATATAATTATATGCACACAGAAACAAGAAATCACAACTTTGAATGCATGTTTATGAAACACGTTCAGCTAACAAGCTGCTCGGCTAAAGGAGACATTTAGTTTTATCATCTTTCACTTAAAACTTATCAAACACACAATCCAACAACTCAAACAGTTTTGCAAACAAGCTGTGATCAGCACATTAAGCCACAGCAACACAGTGATATGTTTCACAATCTGATGCTAACGTTAGCTCGTTCATTTCAAGATGGCATAACTTTACTTGGAGCTGCGATCATGTTAGATGTGTTGCCTCCATGGTCCACATTACCGTCGTCTTTATGGCAGCCTAAGTATTTTCATATAGCTGGATTTATTATTTTATACAAGGGAAAGTTTGGGGAACTCTGTTCTTCAGTCACCACACAGACCCCGCAGAGCTGCCTGTCACACTCGCAGCTCTGCGGGAGTGCACAGGGGAGGGTCCGCGGGGGAAAGTCTGCAGCGCAACAGACTGGAGGAAAAATAAAAACACGCTTGTACTGCAGCCATGGTATGAGAAAATTTTAGTGGTTTTCAAACCATGACTTATTCATATCATGGTATACTGTATCTTGAAACCAGTATTCGGCCCATGCATATTTGGAAGTCTTGTCAAGATGGACTAAATGGCTTCATCCACTTCCTCTGCAGCCATTGCTAAACCACAGGCAGACTAAAACAGCACCGAAAATCTATGTCATTGTTCACAACTCCTTCTGTTCGCTGATTGACTTGGTTGAAATTCATGTAAATGTGAGAAAGCCCAAATGGAGCAGTGAAGGGAGATTAGAATTGAGCGGAACTACATTTATTTATTTATTTATTTATTTATTTATTTAT